AACCAGAGGAGTCGCCCCCTGGTGGACATTAGAGAGAATGCAGCTTCCTCCTGGGCTACAAGTCTTTCTGTTAGCCCCTTTTTTAAATTCATTTTTAAGCAAAGAAACCAGAACAAACCGAGTGTTTTTTGTTTCTTTGTAGTTGTTTAGCATCTATTTGTATTCATTTTTTGTGTATTTTTTGTCGTTTTGCATCTCTTTATATTTGTTCTTTGTCTCGTTGTATTCGTTTTGCATCTTTCTTGTGTTTTTGCATCTCTTTTTGGTCGTTTTGTGTCTCTTCGGACTCGTTTAGTATCCCTTTGTGTTTCTTTTGTTAACTGTTCATTTAGCGTCTCTGTGCTAGCTCTGCTTGTTGCTAATGTTAGCAGTAACTTTAAACAGAGACTCAAACTCTGTCGGCCCGATCGGTAATCCGTCCATCACCAGGAACCCGACATTAAGTAGCTCTAGTAGAAGCATAAGTAGTGATAGTAACAGAAGTTTTTTCCACTACAGTAGTACTACTGTAGTACTACTGTAGTACTACAGTACCTGTACGTGCTGGACGGGCAGAACCATGTTGGGCACCATGATGAGCAGCACCAGGGACCAGACGACCAGCGACAGCAGCCGGGCGAAGCCGACCTGCTGCAGCCGCAGAGAGCACAGACTGTGGCTGTCCTGCAGGAGACCATCATCATCATCATCATCATCACACTGTAGCTACACCAATGATAAATGTACGCAGAGCAAGTCAAGGACTATTCACACCTTTGATGCAGAAAGTTTTAACCCTCAAATTTGCTCAGATTATGTTATTAATGACTAAAGAAATCCCCATTGATGAAGAGTACTTTGTAAAACTTGAGTTTATTGATACATTTGCAGTACAGGTTCTAGTTATTAGGAGACATGGACGGATTAAAGGGACAATGGGCCCCTGGTCAAAGTCGTGTAAAGGGCCCCCAGACCTCCTACATAAGGACGAGAGTCACAGGAACGTTGAACGTTTGTGGTCGTTGTATGTTAGCTTTATATTGAATAATTTTTTTGTCTCTTTCTAGTCATTCTGAATATCTTTCTAGTTCTTTTGCGTTGTTTATTTCTGACGACCCAATGTTGGTCCATCTTCATCTCCCCCCGTGATGAAGATGCGTTCCCATGTGCAGCTGTACCTGCAGGTAGCGGTCGATGATGATGAAGGCGAGGAAGACGATGGATGCGTAGAGGCTGATGTAGATGACGACGGCGCTGGCCTGGCAGTGAAACACCATGAGGCTCCACGGCGCCGCGCCCGCATCCTTCAGGATCTTAAAGGGCAGCGCGAGCAGCAGCAGCAGGTCGGCCAGCAGCAGGTTGAGCAGGTAGACGCTGAAGCTCTGATGAAGCACAAACACCTCAATAACCAGTCTCAGTGTAGTCCTGATCCTCTAT